AAAAAAATTTTTTCTCTTACTTAATTGGCCTCTTAGAGTTGGTAAGACAACTCCCACCTGTTCATGCTCTCTGTATGTGTGTGTATATATCTCCTCAATATATGTTCCACTCTATATGCATCTGAAGAAGTGGGCAGTAGCCCACGAAAGCTTATGCTCTAATAAATTTGTTAGTCTCTAAGGTGCCACCAGTACTCCTGTTCTTTTTGCGGATACAGACTAACACGGCTGCTACTCTGAAATGTTTCTCTCTGGTTCTCAATTAATTCTTCAATTTCTTCCTGGAGGATGTTGATGAAGCCAGCACCACCCAGTTACCTGGCCACCTGAACAATGCGTTTCACTTCTTTGTCAATGGTCGGGAAACCCTTTAAAATATTCACACATTCTTTCCATAGGTTTCACCAACGTGCATTGACTGTTTCAGGCTTGATTGCATCCATTTCCTGTTTAATATAAGTGATGCAATCGGCAATGTTGAAGGACTTCCAACACTCCATCACATGAGTGATCAGCATCCATAGCGTTACGTATCCATGAGAATGTAAGCCTCGTGTACGTGGCCTTGAAACAGCGAATCACGCCTTGGTCGAGAGGATGGAGGTGGTATTGGGGGGGGGAGAAAGACAACTTTAACGTCATTATGCGCAAACTGGAGTGCCTTGGTGGCCAGGAGCATGGTCTACGATCAGCAGCACTTTAAAGTCAAGTCCTTTCTCTTCAAGGTACCACTTGACCTCCGGAATGAAACACTTGTGGAACCAATCCAGAAATAATACCCAAGCCTTTTTATTTGATTGCCAGAACACAGGCAGGAGATTTTTGTTCTTGCCTTTTAGGGCATGGGGATTTGCAGCCCTGTAGAGCAAGCTCGGCTTTATTAAATGCCAAGCTGCATTGCTACAAAACAACACAGTCACACAGTCTTTAGCTGCTTTGAAGCTAGGGGCTTGTCTTTCTGATTTCGAAATGTAAGTACTGTTGGGCATTTTTTTCCATAAGAGCCCAGTCTCGTCAGCATTAAAAACTTGTTCCAGAAGATAGCCCTTTTCTTCTATGATTTTCTTTAATTGTTTGGGATAGGCTTTTGCTACCTCTTCATCAGCAGATGCAGCTTCACCAGTAGTCTGCACGTTTTTGAGGTTGAAGCGGTTCCTAAAACTGTTATGCCAACCTTGGCTGGCTTTGAATTCCTGCTCATCAGAAGGCTGTCCCTCTTCGGCGGGAGGTTGAATAGTAGAAGCTAAAAGCCTTTTCTTGCAACGTGTTGCCATCGATAGGCACATGTTTATGGTTCATGTCTTCCAGCCATAAGTTTAATGCCTTTTCAGTCTTGTCTTATCAGGCACCTGGCTCGTCACCGTAGCAGTTATTGGAGCACTTGATGCCACGGCTTGACGAATTTCTCTCTTGAATCTTGATGGCATGGATGCTAGATTCATTGCGGCCATATTTACGCGCCACGTTGGAGACCGACATACCATCTCTCAATAAGTCCAACACAGCCAGTTTTTCCTCCAGCGTTGGAACAGATCACTGTTTCTTCGGTTGAGCACCAGATGAAGTAGTTGGCTTGCGTTTCGGGATCATGTTGTATGAAAAATACGTATCTTTAAACATTAGAATCACACTCAATGCGGCAAAATGCTCACACTATGAGAGGCACGCAGGAACTGAGACCAACTGAGGGAACAGCAGATTCACGTCTCCCATCTCACGCTCATTGCGCGCGTATAGTTGAATTCACGTAAGTTAAATGTGCGTATGATGCGACTCCACCGTACTTATCAATTCTGTTTTTAATTGTACAGGTAACTTTCAAAAGCATCTCTGTATTTCTTGTAAATTTGAACAAAGCTGCTGTTGTTTATTTGTATTGTGATAGCTTCTAGGAGCCCCTCTCGTGGACCCAGACCCATTTTGCTACATTTGTACAAATGCATAATAAAAACATGGTTCCTGCACTAAAGAGTTTAAAGTCGCCTGTAAACAGTTATTTTTAGTCTTTTATACATTCTTTAAGTTGCTCCATTTATTTTTCCATCAGGAGAAGGGTAGTAGTGTTTTCTAGATAAAATAGTTGGCTTATGTGTAAGACAAATTTATTGTATTCCTTCGGACAATGCTTTTTTTAAAAATTTCATTAAACATTAAGGAGTTGTAGCTAACAGACCCTAAGAAGTCATTTTTTAGAACGCTTTCCAACAATATTACAAAATGTAACTTGTTTCAATGTAGATTTCCTTGGTTTAATTAATGAACAAAAATATTAACACACACAACCTTCAATATTTCTTTCAGAACACCTCGACCTGTTGTTGTAGAACCTATGGAACAATTTGATGATGAAGATGGGCTACCAGAGAAATTAATGCAAAAAACACAACAGTATCATAAGTAAGTTGGATTTAGATTCAGATTTCATTAAACATTATTAGTTTAGCTTGGTGAACAAAAGTTTATTAAATTTTATCTTGATGATGTGTGGAGTGAGGATGGGAGAGTGCTGTTTGTATAATAAGCAGTTTTTTGTTTTTGTTTTTAAATATACATATAATTGTTAAACTTTCTGAGATTAGATGTTAGGCTTTCCTGATTACGAAGTGCAAACTCAGATAATAGGCACTCGGTCCCTGATCCTGAAAAGATTTGTGCCCATGTTTATTTTTACTCTGAGCAGTCCCATTGACTCTGTGAATAAGTCCCTGCAGGATCAGGGCTTCAAATACCGCAGTGATCGGTGCAATAAAGTAAACTGAGAGTCTTGAGTGTCAGGAGAAACCAAAGTTCTTTTAATTTAGAACTTTTAGTGTTGAAATTTGAGACTGTCCCCAAGAAATCCTGATTGCTGGAGCCAAATTGCTTACTCAGATGACAAGCAAAAATAGAACGATTTATTTTTAAAATAATGTATGAGATAAATATTTTGGTTCATTGCTCTTTAATGAATTATTACAATAGCACAAGCATTCGAAAAGGATACTGTGAACTAAAATTTTGATGGGCTTTAGTTTTTAAGTCTTTGAGTAATATTTTAATACAGCAAGCCTTGACACTTTTTCAAACATTGGTGTTAAAAAAATCATGTTTATAAGTCACTTTCTTAGCAGCCTAATAATTATTAGTTTAGTTGCATAGTCTTCAGCTAAAGCATCAGAAATTTTCAATATAATGCAAAACAAGTCTTCCTTAAAAAGGAATAAATTTAAAGGGGGCTTGATTTGGACTATTTCTCTGGTCATGCACTCTCATCTTACTGCAGAGTCCTACCATAAAGTTTTGGGACTGAGTTCTGAAAATGAGCTAATATTTTATAATTACAGAAATTGGCTACTTGATTTAAAGTTAGAAATTAAACCGGAATGTTTGATTAGGAATATATTTTGCTACTGTAGCTGGTTATAAATACATATTTCTGTACATTTTAACTGTGTACATTTTTATTAGGGAAAGAGAGCAGCCTCCACGTTTTGCTCAACCTGGAACATTTGAATTTGAGTATGCTTCCCGATGGAAGGCTCTTGATGAGATGGAAAAGCAGCAGCGAGAACAGGTTGACAGGAATATTAGAGAAGCCAAAGAGAAACTAGAGGCAGAAATGGAAGCAGCTAGACATGAACATCAGTTAATGCTGATGAGGCAAGGTAAAAATCAGATACTCCCCCTACTATAAAAATAACCTGTTTCTCTAAAAAGGTTCCTTTGCATAACATATTGAGTGATGAATCTCAGTTGTGTATGACACATGTAAATGTTTGAGATTTTGTTAGACTAAATATTTATTGGCTTTTTAAGAAAATACTTAGAGGTGGGAAACAGTTTTTCATTTGAACCAAAATCAAGTCTACTCATCTTTTACTTTCAGAGTACAATATAATCAGACATAAAACAGACTTCTACAAATTAAAAAAAGTGAGCTTTGCTGGTGACCATGGCCATATTCTTGTTTTCTAACTCCACTTACATCTAAATACTGTGTGTGGAGAGGCTGGGTAGCTTCACAAATTCAGTAGGAAGGTTTTTTTGAGTTTGTTAATGTTGATTGTGATCCTGGGCTGAAATATGTTAATTTTGCACACTGTGTATAGAGAAATTGTGTGACTGGCACTGCTCTTTTGTTTTCCATTTCTTATACAGATAAGAGTGTTGAGGGAGATAATTTTATAGTTTTAATAGCTGAAAGCCTTTTGCTTTGATGCCCAATTTAGGAGGCTAGTGCATGTATGAGTCAAGGAGTATTCCATCCTCACCTTCTTGATTTTTAGTTTATTTTTTTCTGCACAGTTGGAAAGACTGTCAGACTTCTGAGTAAATAATACAATAGCGTCTTTCATTACGAAGGATCCAAAAGCTTTTAACAAACCAGACACGTACAACACTGAAACCTGTTGGATAGTGGCAGGCCACGAGCACAATGCACAACAGTGGAAGTAGGGGAAACTGGCCAAGTGCATCTGGGTAAGCCCTACAAAAAGTGTTGTGGGATCTTCTGATATCCACAATGGGGAGATGATAGCTGGATTTTCAAGTTCTTATCCAAAAGACCAGTACACTGAGCATCCTGCAGTTTTATTCTCTGTTTACCTGGATAGGCTGAAGGTCTGTGTCAACACTTAAGGGATTTGAACCTCCAAGGTTTCAGAGCATGTAGGTGTTTCAAACCTTAAGCCTAGGCAACTAATATGTCCCCTCTGTCACATGTTTAGTTTTAACAAGTAATCATGACATGACAATATAATTCCCCCCCCCCCCTCTTCAAAGAACAAGATTTTCTTGTTTCTTGTGATTTTGCTGTAGATTTGATTATTCCATTTTTTTTCCACATCTAAGACTTTCATGACTGGGGTAGACTAAAGATATTTCCCAAGTGGCTTTACCAACAAATGCTTTGAAAAGTGGGTACTGTTAAATAGGTCACTTTTTATATAAATAGTTCCTTTGGAGCTAAAACTTCCAATTTGGTTATTTTTTTTAAAGTTTGCTTTTAAAGAGTGTTTTAAAGAGATATAACAGCTTAAAAATCACATTTTTGTTTAATATTTTTATCTGCTGTTATAAGTAAGAGTTGATACAATGGCAAATGTCTCACTTAGGCCTTAATCTGGCATTATCTGTTATGCAAGGGGAAGAAGTCCCCTCTAGGTCTTATGTGATGTTCTGCTTAGGACACCGAGAAGTGTAAGCCACTGTGTTACCCCACTGCCTCAGTAAGTGAGAACTTTGCTGCTGTTAAGCTGTGTGTCAGCTCTCTGACATACTAGCATTGACTGCCTTGCCAGCAAACTCCATAAGGCTCTCCTAGTCTGAATCTTTCCTTGAAGATAATCGGTGAACCCCAGTTCCCCAGAGAAGTCTCCTTGCAGTGTCCAATCTCACCAACAGAAATTAAGTTTGCTGCCTCCAAAGAGATAATGTACACATCAGCCTGTTAGGTTTTCTGAAGACTCACACTTACTTCAATATAACAGCACTGAGAGAATTTACAAACTAATAAAAAGTTTATTAACAAGGAACAGAGATTTAAGTGATACTAGCAAGAATAAAAGACAGGTATAGTTACAAACAAAACAGAATGCAATGTCTTGCGACTAAAACTTAACGTTAGCAAGTTTTCATGGACTGAGGTGAGGCTGACTGGCCTGTAGTTCCCCGGATCCTCCTCCTTCCCTTTTTTAAAGATGGGCACTTCATTAGTCTTTTTCCAGTCATCCGGGACCTCCCCCAATCTCTATGAGTTTTCAAAGATAATGACCAATGGCTCTGCAATCACTTTTGCCAACTCGTTTCGCACCCTCGGATGCAGCGCATCCAGCCCCATGGACTTATGCTTGTCCAGCTTTTCTAAATAGTCCTGAACCACTTCTTTCTCCACAGAGGGCTGGTCACCTCCTCCCCATGCTGTGCTGCCCAGTGCAGTAGTTTGGGAGCTGACCTTGTTCGTGAAGACAGAGGCAAAAAAAGCATTGAGTACATTAGCTTTTTCCACATCCTCTGTCTCTAGGCTGCCTCCCTCATTCAGTAAGGGGCCCACACTTTCCTTGACTTTCTTCTTGTTGCTAACAGACCTGAAGAAACCCTTCTTGTTACTCTTAACATCTCTTGCTAGCTGCAACTCCAAGTGTGATTTGGCCTTCCTGATTTCACTCCTGCATGCCTGAGCAATATTTTTATACTCCTCCCTGGTCATTTGTCCAATCTTCCACTTCTTAAGCTTCCTTTTTGTGCTTAAGATCAGCAAGAATTTCACTGTTAAGCCAAGCTGGTCGCTTGCCATATTTACTATTCTTTCTACACATCGGGATGGTTTGTTCCTGCAACCTCAATAAGGATTCTTTAAAATGATCATCTAGTCTGATCGCCTGTATGTTGCAGGCCACCCACCCACTCCTTTAGTAAGACTCATAACCTCTGTGTGAGTTACTGAAGTCTACAAATCATGATTTAAGTTACTGAGAATCCAGCCTTTATATTAGTTTAAACTTGCAAGTGACCTATGCCCCATGCGACAGAGTAGGGCAAAAAAACCAACAACCCAGTGTCTCTACCAGTCTGACCTGGGGGGAAAATCCCTTCCTGACCTCAAATATGGCAGTCAGTTGGATCCTGAGCATTTTGGCAAGACTCCCAGAAAGAATTCTCTGTAGTAACTCAGAGCCCTTCCCATCTAGCATCCCATGATTGGCCATTGGGGATATTTGTTACTAGAAGTCGCAGATCGGCTATATACTGTGCTTGATGAGGATGTTTTTTAAAAAGTCGATCAAGCACCTCTCTTTAAAAAAAAAATTATCTATTGCACTTTGAACATTAAGAAAAGGAATAGTAAATATGAGAAAAACATGTCGTCATATAAATTCATGGTCAGGCCTCATCTGAAATACTGCATGAAGTACTGGTCTCCTCATCTCAGATGAATGTTGCAGAATTAAAATGAGTTCTGAGAAGTGCATTGAGAATGATTAGGGGCATGGAAAAACTCACGTGAGGAGGAATTGAAAAGGCAGATTGTTTCATTTATACACTTTCAACATATTTCCTCTAATATATACCATTGTAGGCAGTCTCGTCATACCATCCCCATCATAAACATATAAAGCTCAGTCTTGAAGTCAGTTAGGTTTTTTGCCCCCCACTGCTCGTCTTGGAAGGCTGTTCCAGAACTTCCCTCTGATGGTTAGAAACCTTCATCTAATCTCAAGCCTGAATGTGTTGATGGCCAGTTTATATCCATTTGTTCTTTTGTCAACGTTGATGCTTAACTTAAATAACTCCTCCTACTCCCTGGTATTTATACTTTTGATGTATTTATAGAAACATGGGAGACCAAAACTGCACAGAGTATTCCAGATGAGTTTTCACCAGTTCCTTGTATAATGGTACTAACACTTCCCTATCTCTACTGGAAATATCCCACCTGATGCATTTTAGGATTGCATTATTCTTTTTCATAGCCACATCGGCAGCTCATAGTCATCCTGTGATCAGCCAATACACTCAGGTCTTTCTCCTCCTTGTTGCTTTCAATTGATAAGTCCCCAGTTTATAGCAAAACAAATTCTTGTTGTTAGTCTCTAAGTGAATGACCTTGCACTTTGCACTATTAAATTTCATCCCATTTCCGTTACTCCAGTTTTCAAGATCATCCAGTTCTTGTATGATATGTTCTTAAGGTAAAATATCTTAGGATATATGTTCCAAGATATTTTATCTTAAGAACATATTTCCAACACACACACATAACTCTTTGTACAAATACCTACACATAAATCACACAATATTCATGACCAGCATGTCACTAGCTTTCATAAAAGACCTTACTTGATGCTCTTAATTTGATTGCTTATTCTTTGGGGTTCAGATCCCCCATTCTTCTGATGGGGTGGATGGACCCTGTTTGTCACACCTCACTACTAAGGTTAACATCCATTATCTCCCGTTCTGCTTCTGGGTCAAATAGGCCCCAGTGGTTTTTTGTGGAGTCCTATGTCTTCAAATGTCCTAGGTCTGATGTTATCACCACTTTCCAGTTTATTGGACCTTCATTTTCATACTGGAGTAAGAATATTCACTTGAACCTCAATCTTACCAGGTTCTTGCTCAATTTTGGATTCCTGATATGCTTGATGAGGATGTTTTTTAAAAAGTTTATCAAGCACATCTCTTTTAAAAAAAATATTATGTATTGCACTTTGAACATTAAGAAAAGGAATAGTAAATATGAGAAAAACATGTCATCATATAAATTCATGGTCAGGCCTCATCTGAAATACTGCATGAAGTACTGGTCTCCTCATCTCAGATGAATGTTGCAGAATTAAAATGAGTTCTGAGAAGTGCATTGAGAATGATTAGGGGCATGGAAAAACTCCCATGAGGAGGAATTGAAAAGGCAGATTGTTTAATTTATATACTTTCAACATATTTCCTCTAATGAATGGAATAGATAAGGTAGATTGAGAGTTTATATTCTCTCATAGCACAAGAAGAAGGCAAGGGAGGGGACATTCAGTGAAATTGAAAGTTTCAAATTCAAAACCGATAAAAGGGAATGATTTTTCACACACAGTGTAATTAGACCATGGAACTCATTGCCACAGGATGTTGTTGAGTCCAAGACTTCTTTGTATTAGGAAAGGACTGGATATTTATATGAACAAGAGTATCCAGAGTTGTAGTTAATGGGGAACATGATGATGAACTAAAAGAGTACTGTAAGGGAGATAAAACCTCAGGTTTTAAATCATTCTCTGTTCGGGATTAAGATGAGTCCTTCATTGAGGGCCAATTACTTTACATCTGCCTGTTTTGGGGGTTCTTGTATGTTCCTTTGAACTATCTAATGCTGGCTACTGCTGGAGACAGGAATTGCTGTATTGGATAAGACCCATGGTCCATTTAGTCCAGTATCCTATGTGCTCTTGACCGTAAAGGTAAATGACATTAGTTAAATGCATTGACCATTTTGATATGAATTAGTAGCTCATTCCTTAATCACATTCAGATTAAGTAATAGAATGGTAATTTTCTAATTTAAAAATGAAATCACTTTGTAATAGTGCTGATAGGGTGGATTTGATTTAAATCAAATTGATTTAAATCATTTAAATCACTAGTCAGGAAGACTTGATTTAATCATGGATTTCTACATAAAAGTGCATTCTTGTTGGTTTTTATAACCTTAATGCATATTCACAATTCAGAGATAGATGTAGGTTTCATTTTTAGAAGGTATACACTATACATTTTTTAAGTGATTTATTTTGAAAACTTTTCAGATTAGTTTTACAGCTATATCAGAAAATGAATGATTGTTCGGTTATTTCATTTATCAAAGGTAATTGAAGCAGATATTTATGAAGTCATTGGGAGGTGAACTATCTCCAATTCAACAGCTTAATCATTAATATTTGGAGGATTTTCTTGACATGCTGTATTAGGAGGAGAACATCACCAGACATTTACATTGTTTTATTTAATTAAAACAACGATGTTATGTATTCTGGATTTTTTTCTTCAACAGCAAACATATGATATTTTAACAAAACAAGCATATGAATTTTTGAATTTAGTTAAACATTCAAGTTTTTTAAAATCAGGTTTGTTTTTGTTAAAATTGTTTTTAACTAAAATAGTTTAAATGAAATATTTAAAAAAAAAAATTAAATCCACTATGTCAGCCAGGTCAACATGAGAAACGTAAAATACTGACTTCTGCAGCTAACTCAGTCATCTTCACCTTCACTTTCCTGTTTGTTCATAATCTGGAAAAGAAAAACAAGCTTTCCTGCTTTTTCAAGTCCCAAATGATTTCTTAATTTGGAATGAATTAGTCCAAAGGAAGAAAATATTCTTTCTACACTGGCAGAAGAAGCTACTGCTGTTAAAAGTGAGATTATCCCATCTCCTAGAACTGGAAGGGACCTTGAAGGTCATTGAGTCCAGCCCCCTGCCTTCACTAGCAGGACCAAGTACTGATTTTGCCCCAGATCCCCAAGTGGCCCCCTCAAGGATTGAACTCACAACCCTGGGTTTAGCAGGCCAATGCTCAAACCACTGAGCTATCCCTCCCTCCCCATTATCACTTCAACAGTCTCTGAATCCAAGTGCTTAAGGGACTTCCACCACTTAATGGATGTGACTTTCTTTAAAACATCATCAGCAAACATATATTTCTAGAATGTTTTTTATTCCCAAACTGGGTCTCTCTTACAGTCTGCTGCCATTATAGGTTTTCCCTTCTAGTGAGAGAATGGTATAGTAGATCTCAAATCAGTGAAGGCTACACTCAGAAAGACCTCAAGACTTCTGGAATATGCTGCTCAAACAGTTTCACTTTTATTTTACTGCCTGTCCCTCCCTTCTCACATTTATCTCCAGACTTCTCCTTGTCCAGATCTATTCTGCCCCCAACAATCTTCTACTCATTGAACTTTCTGAAACTTTGCACTTTTAGAGAGAGGGGAGGGATTGACTCTGTGTACACAAATTTGCAGAGGGACAATAGGGTTGAGGTCTGTTATTTCTCACCTCTATGTATTATTTATTTGTTTTAAAACATTTTTAATGTTAACAAGCCTGTGATCTCTGGACACACAAATTCATGGTTTGAGAACTGCAAAACTAAGCCTCTCTGAAGGTATCTTCTAGATTGAGCACTGAGTCCCATTGGGTAGATAGAAAGATGAACCTAAATAATCTATACAGAAACGCTTGGAACTCCATAAGATTGGGTTCCTAATCCATGAACTATTGGAACTCATTTACAAAACTTCTTAAACATTACATGAATATATTGTCTCATACTATAGAATTAGAATTTATAATCCCTATTCCATAATAAGAATATCTTTGAGCTATAATGTATCTTAATTAAAACTATCTTTAGATAGGTTTTTTTCCTCAAAAAGCATTTTCTCAAAAAATTCCAATTTAAATAAAAAAAAATCTGATTTTTATTCTTTTTTAAAAATCATTGATTTTTATCCACCGTGGGTAGTGAACATTTTGCTATGTGCATTCCACTACTGACAATGGAACACTTGCAACCACTGAAGTAAAAAAGAATAATTAAGGGTCTTATATAATATCTAACTTTTTGCAGATCTCATGAGGCGCCAGGAAGAACTGAGACGTTTGGAAGAACTTAGAAATCAAGAGCTACAGAAACGCAAGCAAATACAATTGAGGTATTTTGTTTTATTTGGTATTAAACATTCTAAATATGTAACTGATATTCTAGGTCTAAGTGAATGAATGTAGGTATTCTAGTTTAGAGGGACTGATTATGAAATCTAATGCAAGCAGTTTTTTTTGTTTTTTTTAAAAAGAATGCAACAATAATGCTTCTCTGCAGGTGCAGAAGAATATAAATATATGATGTTTCAATCCAGATATACCTTAAAAATAAACAGAATATGAAACAGAGGGCTTACACCAATTAGAAAGTGGTATGTTTAATAATTCTGTGGGTTTATTATTTCTTATGGTCAGCTGCGTTCAGTCTAAATAGCGTAGGATTATATTAATTTGTTTTCTACATTCCTTGTGCCAGTTTCTTTTAAGATTATGTAGGAGGTGCATTTGACTACATGAAGTTGAATTTGTCCCATTTTGGGGCACTGTTCTTCAGTTAGATTAAAATTATGATACAAAATGATGCAGTCTCTTTAATTTATGATAGAGATTTTTCTGCAATAATTACCCAGTTATAACTTTCTCATATGCATCTGTGTGCTCTGTGACATCTGTCTCTGAATACTAAAATAAACATTCTTTTTTAAGATCTATTTTTACAAACGTGGATATTTTATTAATGTACTAAGATTCAATAAAATTGGAGAAGCGGCTTAGTTACTTGAATTGAGTTTACCAATGCCTTTTGGGAGAACTGTTTTCTGATGCTCCTATTGCTTAATTTTGCATTTCAAAATAATTTACTGCAGTGAAATATGTACCAGAATGCAAAAAACAAATTGCAGGAGTTATTGATAAATTGTAGTTTTTAATGTTGTTAAAAAAATTCTCAGTTATCCAGGCTTAAACTATCATAACCATGGCAAGCAGAGAACACCCCTATAATGCTGTTAGGTATATACCAGGTGTGTGCCAAAATACTTCAGTGAAATGTCAAAGCCCAAAAGATGGAGTGGAGGACTAGTAGTAAAATGTTATGTTGCTATATAATTTAAGCCAGGGGTCCCCAACGCGGTGCCCGCGGGCACCATGGCGCCCACCGGGGCATCTAAGTGCGCCCGCGTACTGGCCGGCATACAAGCATCCGCCAAAATGCCGCCGACAAGCATCATCATCCAGAGGCGTTGCCGCCGAAATGCCGCCAATCAGCGGCATTTCGGCAGCGACACCTCTGGATGCTACTGCTTGTCAGCGGCATTTTGGCGGCGACCCCTATTGACATTGCTGCTTGTCGGTGGCATTTTGGCGGATGCTCGTCCGCCGCCACGGTCCTCCGCGCCAGACGAAAAAGGTTGGGGACCACTGATTTAAGCTATAAGAAATTTTTTTAATTAACTTGAAATTCATTCAGGTTTGCCCTAAAAGTCTATTGAAACACATGTATGAAGAGGTCATGAACATAATTTACACAAGTTTATGAATACTTTTAGACATGAAGAAGAACATCGACGTCGTGAAGAAGAGATGCTACGGCAGAGAGAACAGGAAGAACTGAGACGACAGCAGGAAGGAGGATTTAAACCAAATTTCTTGGACAATGTAAGTAGAATTCTATTTGATTAAAATCTGAAGTGCAGAAGAACCTTTGGTTCTTTTCCTGTATTTTCAAGAATGACCAGATTGAAATGTCTTCCTCTCCGGGCTACTTGAACTACTTTCCTGTGAATGCTCTTATTTCTGTAGCAGAGAGACCACAGTGATCAATAGTATGGTCTCATTTTATCCCCCATGATTTTCCTCCAAGTCAGTTATTCAGAATTTTAACTAAGTGAAGGTTTTTAGATATTCATATATTTTGTACATTCAGGAAGTATTATCTCCTGTATAATCCCACAATTTAAACACACTTCTACTATTTTCCAAGGTCAGATGACAGTGTTTCCCTTATGAATGGAAATATAGATAATAGCAAAGGTCATGTCTACATCGAGAGTTGCACTGGTTTTATTAAAGGCATTAATTTTAAATCACTTAAGTTTAAAGTGGTGCAAACCCCTGTATGAACTCTCTTACTTTAGTTTGAGTGGTTTATTTTGTTTTAGATTAAGTCTGTCAGGGAAAATAAGCCACTTTTAAACAGAAATAAGTGTTTACACAGTGGCTTGCATGGTTTAACTAAATTGGTAAAAGTTTGTAGACAAATCCTAAGATTACAGCCCATCTTGATTCTATCACTGTGGGTGGAAAAAGGAGAATATTTTCTAAATTAGGTCTAAAGATAACCTGCAAAGAAAAAAAGGGCATATATCCGTTTTCATGAACTGGGTTAGGTGGCCTAGTGGTTAGCGCATTAGTGTCACCACCCAGTGGGTAGATCTTACATTTCAGGCCCTCTTTTAATTAGAGGTGCAGAGAGGTGGGCACGTGGCTTGGATTCCTCCTGTAGTAGCGGCAATAGTAGGGGGCCTGGGCCTGCCCACTCCAGTGGGCTCCGACCTAGGGGCCCTAGGAGAGTCAATAGTATGTGGCCCACAAAGGTGCCCTCCAAGTTACCTTTTGTGGGTCACTTCCTATCTTCTGCTTTTCTCCCGCCCCCCCCTCAAGTCCAGTATAAAGTGAAAAGAAAAAGAAAAGGCAACCAAACTATCATCCCTCGCAGGGGTCTGCACACAATCTTATTCCCTCTGGGAGTCTTCTCCAGCTCCCTTGTCAGGAGCCTTCAGAGTAGGTCTGTCTGCCTCCCTCCTGAGCTGGGTTGTTCCCTTTTCAGTCCTTTCTCTAGTTGGAGCATGCTCTGGAGGGGCGTGGAAACCTGTGCCCAGTCCTGTCTTTTTACCCCCTTCTGGCCCAGTATGGAGTTTGTATACTCCATCACATTTGGAAGATACTGATGTCTGGAGCACTAGTGAAATGATGACATCATGAGAGAGGGGGAGAGTTTGACAATTTGAGACTCTTAGGTCTGGTCTATGGACAATTATTGTACTGATCTTTCAGTTGGGTGAGGGGTGACTTTTCTACAGAAATAGTTAAATTAGTACACCTAGTGTGGACACAGTTGTAATGTTGTTAAGTTATAGCTATTCTCTTTGGGAAGGGGAATAAGGTATGCACATATAAATCATCTTTATTCTGATATATCTGCGTCTGCATTATGGGGCTTGTGCCACTTTAAATATCCAGTATATTTAAAGCAGTACAATTTATGTATAGACAAGGCCTTAGCTTTGGGTTGTTTTTAGCACGTTCCTCAATGATTTCACATTTTGGAGAAAGAATATCATTGTTAAATATTCAGCACCATCGCACTAGCTATTAAGGTTGAAGAGAAGACAACATGCACGTTCTGAGACATCCCAGGAGGTTCTTTAGCAAAACTATACAAAACCACATTTGCTATTCCAAGCAGAACCCCCTTTTTTCACTTTTTTCCCCAGGGTGGTGGTGGTAGGAATGGAGCAAAAAAAGGCATGGGTTATAGTTTTCTGTGTGGCATTGCGAAGTGCTATTAGAGGTTTTGGCCAGATCTATATTTGATTACACCTCTCTAAAAAGCTTGATGCAGAAAATATTTCAGATTTTTTCCTTCATTTCCATATGTGCTTGCATTGTGAAAAAGAAAATGTGTAAGCATTGTGCATGTTTTGGGTGAGGGAAGCGATAGAAGAAAAAGAGATTTCAGAAGTCTGGAAGGTGAAAATATTGCTATTGCCCCTTCGTGTGTAGTTTTTAACGTAGGGTTATATAGGATTTATGTATTATAAAACTTACATAATTATATTTAAATATAGGGATTAAGTATTTTATGATTGATCTTGAGACTGTACTTGAAATGCCAAATTTTACTCTCTAGATCACATTAGTGTCTAAAGACCTATAGCATATAATCTTTTACATACAGCATGTGTTTTACCTATCCTCTTTAAGGCTGTATGAATGTGAACGTCAGATCCTGTCATTTCACTGAAATTTGACCCTCTGTTAAAGCTGATGTCCTGAACAAACACAAAAATATAGCATGAGAAGGGAAAAGGATGGTTTAAGTGGAAAGTATTTTAATTTCTGTTAATAATTTATGCTGCTTCACACATTGAAGTGGTCAGGATGCCTTTTTTGGGGAGCAAAGTGGTGGTGTACTTACTGTAAACTCTTTTCGGATAAACTTGTATAAATGTTCCATTGAGTTCCACTCTGAGTAATTTGTGATCGCCTGAAACAGTGCTGCTGCAGGAAATTGTATGTATATTTTGAAATAGTCATACAAGTATGAATCTGCTAAAACTGGTATGAGTTACACTAAAAATGGTTGCATATAAATTTATTTATTTTTAAATTGGGATATGTCATGTGAACTTGAAATGGCAGATTCCAAATACTACTATTGAACTATCTCATGGTTTTCAGGTCAGGTTTAATGATTCTAGTATTGTAGTGATAAGTTGGCTTTCATTCCAATAGCATTTTTAAAGCCGTGCAAAAATTAAAATACAGTAATTTACGTGATTATGGAACTTTTCCTCTAACAGTGGTTTCTAATGGAAGGAATCCATATTATACTTACACAACTTTTACTTTTGAATGTAGCAGATGAAACCAATTTCATATATGTACATTACAGTACATCTATAGATAACTATAAGTGACAGTAATTTTAAAGTGTGAACGAGAGCTTCTTTATTAAAAACATCTGGTTTTGGAGTAAATCAGAAAGATGAACAACTAATTTCAGGATATTGAGAAGTGGTGTATCTAATGAATTTCTGCCATCAGATTAATGAATAGGATTTTTTTCTATGATCATATTCCCTTTTAGTGATCAGTTTCTAGCTCAGACTTGTTGATTGTAAGCAGACTTGATCTGCTAATTTGTCTTAGCATTAGACTGCCCTTTTATCAATATTGAGAATGTTTACTTCTGTATTTGAAGCCTCAAACTTTGATTGTCATGGTTGAAACAGTAATTTCTATAATATATGAATATATTCATGGATGGTTTTCACTGTATCCAATCTTTGCCAGCAAACTCTAATTATGGCATGTTTCTTTAATCCTTAGAAGATCATACACTCTAATATCACTTTTGTATATGGAAAGAAATTAGTAATTGTTTCTAATATTTGTTTTTGTTTCTTAAAAGCTTTGAAAATATAAGCTTCCTTCACTTATATCCTATCCTTTTCACTGTTCAGTTTTAAAGAAGGACCTAATGGTAAGTGTAATGATTACCAGAATTGGAACCCTTCATGCAAGGATCTTATATCAGGCTATCTTCATTCATTAAGGTTACTTTCCATATCTTTAATTATTTTTTAACTCTCTTAAACTTTGATTTTCAATATGTTTGACTAATTTTGAAAAGAGCACTTACTTTGAAAAGAGTTTGATTGCTATTTTTTAATATACTATACTAATTGCATTTGATTCAGTTACTAGTCAGTGTTTCTCAGTTTTATTTTTAACTGACAAAAATATAAGCCAAACAACAAAAGTTTCTAATTTAAGCTGTTTTAAGTCTTTGAAAGGTTGATTCGGCCTGCTTCCTCAAAGAGGTAATATTGAATTTACAAAATTAGGAATCTGCTTGCTCTCTGCCTTAATAGACGACTTTTTCCGAGGGATGTTTAAGGATTTTCTTCTGTAATTATTGTTACCTGTAATGCAGCGACAGTTACCCTTAAATCCCCTTTTTATACTGTTTAGGATTCTGTTTTCTTAATGTTTAAAGGTTGGCGCTCACAGAAGTCTGCCTTTATAGCTCAAAGATCACTATATAAATTCTATACAATTTTCAGTTGTCGAGTTTTGTTCTAATTTAGTTTAGTTACTAGCCACATAATTATTTGCTTTTTAATGTGATATTTCTTACTCTCGAGCACAAATAACTTCAAAAGTTATACTTTAGTAAAGCTATTCAAATTGCATAATGTTTAAAAACCACTCCATTGGATGCTAAAGTGAACGTTGTGTGCATGTGTATCAAAACCATTTCCCCAAATGTTCGTTTCAGTGCTTAGAATCTGTTCTTTTAATTCACTTTCCTCCATTTGGGTGGGAGACGTGGAGATCATCATTCTGAACCAGTACTAACAAAAATATTGTGCTTTCTGGGCAGGTCTACCAAAAATAGGCAGAAAAAATGCAGGAATTGTGTTCTTAGAGATATGGTTCTGCAGCAGCAACATAAAATAAAGTGTATATAATAAGATCAAATGGAGTATTGTAACCTGATAAAACACTAGTTACAAGGATTGAACAGGGCCATCACACTTAAGATCTATGTACTGATCTTTAAAAGAGGAAATCCTGGTATAGACTTCGGTGTTTTTGAAAATTTTATCCCAAGTTCCGTTTTCAAATTGACAGAGGCATTTAACCGAAGTGTCATAGAAAGTCAATGAGATTTAGGCTGCTAAGGCACTTACTCTTCTAAGAATTTTATCCCTTGGTTTTTTAAAAAATTGTTAATTGTAGCTGTTTAGTTGACTTCCCATTTGTTTTCTTACCTGAACAGTGGGGCTTCTACCTATGTTCCATAGGCTTCAGAGTAAGGTGTCTGCCACAGCAGAGGTTGCTTGAATAGAAGAGTCTCTAGTAGCTTC